AGGGGGAATGCACTTTGCAATGGCAAGTGCCATTGGGCCTCTAGGCCTAGTGCAATAGTTCCTTTATGTTTTTCCTTAAGTTCTTTTATTTTCATATAATGTAAATTTGAGACATGCAATCTAAAATAATATTTTAGTTAAAACTTTAAATTTTCATATTAAAAATTTTAAATTTAAATTTTAAAATCAATGAAAAAAAATTTGACAAAAGGAGTGCTTATCTCTTAATATTGTGTAATTTATCATCAAATGTAACATAAAAAATAAGCATCAAAAGATAGGAGGGGAGTAGAGGAAATGGGAGGGAGCTAAGGGAGGTCACGAGAGAGCATTATTAATCGTAATTGTAATTTAATGAGTGAATTTTGTGAATGCAGATTAATCATAGAGGATGAGGAAAGGTTGAGAAATGATCAATTGAAACAACACCCACAAAATAAATGAGATATAATTTTTATAAGATACCTTATGAATGTCCCAAACAGTTTAGAACTAGAGGAAAGGTTCAAAATGGACACGAGAAAAGGAAATTTGAAAAATAATCAAAAAATCTCATGCAATATAACCCATCTAAATATGCCCGAAAAATGTGACATGTATTGAATTTACTCTTGTTCTTTAATACTTAATTTAGTTATTGAAAAATGATTTGCCATAGATTATATAGGTATTGTAGGATAAATTTGTAAGGGCAGGACCAAGGTGCCCAGCCTCGGACGTACGACAGTAATTCCTTTACAACCGGAGTGAAGAGCAAATCCAAAGCTTCCCGCTCGAACGGCTACACAGCAGTTGCGATGGACACCCTCGCATCTAATTATATCTCAATCTCTCGGTCCCGAATTAACCGCCTGGAGATACACATCAAATCCCGAATATCTTGCTTGGTTCAATCTCCCGATCCCGAAATAACTGCCTGAAGATACACATCAGATCCCGAGTATCTTGCTTGGCAAGTCACATAGATTCTTCATTGGAGCATATAAATACCCCTCAAAGGCCACGCCAAAAGGTAATTGAACCAACCCTAAGCTCCTTGCTTCCTCGTTCTGAAGGTAGTTCCGATTATTACTAACTTAAGCATCGGAGTGTCTACCCCGAGGACCCACCTCGGGGCTTTGCAGGTCAATTCGGAGTACAGATACGGACTGGAGAAGGACTTCTGGTTTGGTGCAGTTACATTTTCGCGCCGTCTGTGGGAATTCGAACTGAAAGCTCCCTTGTTGCTCTTATCATGGTTGAAACTAGGTCCGTCCGAGCTGGAAACTCATCTCAGCCTCCTGGACGAGGTTAGGTCCTCAGCAACCTCCCACCTCATCCCCCACCCCCAATCCCAAATACGTTCCCTCATATTGACCATGCGGAAGGAGGAGATGAAAATCAGCCACACAATTCGGCTCACAATTCGGCCTCTACTACCAACCACGACGTAGTTGCAATTCAACTCGCTGCCATGCAACAACAGTTTGGTGTCTTTCAACTAGTGTTGGCTCAACTATTAGCACGGCACAATCCTGGTGATCCACTTCTTAACTTACTTAACCCTGCTCCACAACCTCCAGCTCCACAACAAAATCCTGAACCAATTCAGTAAGCTCTTGCTATTAGTGAATCCCAGGGCCAATCTCACATCGCACCAGTTCAGCAACCCCTTCATGATGATGTCACTCGACGCCTAGACAGCTTAGAAAAGTTCGTGGCTGGACAATGAGGTGCCCCACCTCCACACCCTGCTGCTGACTCCGTACCTCACCCCCTCAACATCAACATTACATTAGAACCTTATCCCACTGGCTTCAGGATACCACAACTTGAAACTTATGATGGGACGAAGGACCCCGATGATCATCTACATGCTTTCTACTCTTGCATGCAAGCCCAGAACGCCTCTGATGCGTTGATGTACAAAATCTTTCCTTCTACGCTCCGAGGTAATGCTCGAACCTGGTACTACAGTCTGCCTCCGAGGTCAATCAGCTCTTACACAGAAATGACATCCGCTTTTGCCACAAAGTTTTCCAGTAGAAGGTTGATAGGGAAAACCACTTCCGAGATGATGCGCGTTAGGCAGAGGGACGGAAAGTCTTTGAAGAATTTTATGAGCAGATTCAATGATGCAGTGTTGGAAGTCAACTCTTTCGACCAGGCTGTGGGAATTACAGCTGTGATCTCAGGTCTTAGCCATGAGAGATTCAGGGATAGCCTGCTTAAACATCCTGCCACCACCTTCAGCAAGGTAAATGATAGATCACTGAAGTTCATCACTGTTGAGGAATATGTCCTGTCGCAGAACCCAGCTCCTATTAAGAACCAGAACCCGGATTGGAGAGATGAGAATCTGAACAGGAAGCGGATGAAGACACCACAGAACTGAGGTCCGATGCCGACTTCCATACCGAGATTTGGAAGGCCGAACTCCGCACCCCCATAGCAACCTGCAGGTAAACCTCCAGTTACTTGGACTCCTTTTAACTTGCCGAGGTCCCAGATCTTCATGCAGATTAAGAACAAAATGGATCTAAGGCGTCCGGGTCTGATGAAAACTACTCCTACTAGCCGAGATCATATTAGATATTGTGATTTCCATCAAGATCACGGTCATACAACAAGACAATGCAACAGCTTAAGGTCTGAACTGGAAAGCCTTGCCCAGAAGGGATTGTTAAATGAGTACATTCAGAGAACTGAACAGCCACGGTTTGTCAGAGAACAAGGGCCATAGTCTCAAGGAGTTCGTCACCCGCCCAACCGGGAAGGTGTGGGTTATCAGCAAACCCCGCCTTCGCTCCCACCACCAGCTAGAATCATACATATGATCATGGGAGGCCTGGAAGCCGGTGGACTAAGCTCTAAACAACGAAAGTTGTATGTCAGAGAGGTTAAGCATCAGAACCGAGCTCAGAAGCGGAAGTTTGACGATGCTGAGTGGAAGAACCAACCGATTACCTTCACACCTGCCGATCTCGATACAGTCGTCACACCCCACAATGACCCCCTTGTCACTTCTGTCACGATTAACAATTGTGAGGTGCAGCGCGTCCTTGTTGACAAAGGGAGTGCACCAGATATCATGTACTTCCATTGTTTCGAAAGTCTTGGGTTGGATTCGGCTTTGTTGCAGCGGTATGATGGTCCCATCTACGGATTCAACAACCAGCCAGTCCCAATTGAAGGAGTCCTCACCATGAATGTTGCATTTGGAAGTGGCCGCAATTACGTAACCCCTCCAGTTAGGTTTCTGGTAGTCAAGATGGCGTCCTCTTTCAACGTTGTCATTGGCCGACCTATACTGACTGAAATCCGAGCTGTGGTTTCCCAGTCTCACCTATGCATGAAATTCCCAACTCCTACAAGAATAGCAACGCTGCGAGGCAATCAGGAGGTGGCCCGACATTGTTATATCACCTCGGTCACACAACCTCAGAAGGGCAAAGATCAGCCACCCGAGGTCAATCCCAAACGGATTCCTGACAATTGGCAAGTTATGGGTGTAGAAATCGTAGATAACCGACCAGAAGATGAAACCAGGGCTGCTCCAGTCGAAAAAGTGGAAGAGGTACAGATTGATGACAGAAATCTGAACTGAACAACGCAAATTGGGACTAAGCTAAACCCGGAGGAAAGAGCAGGGCTAATAGCTTTTCTTCGGGCCAATAGAGATGTTTTTGCATGGACTTCAGCAGATATGCCGGGAATTCCCACTTCAGTTTCTCAACACAAACTCAGCACCAATCCACTCAAGAAACCAGTAGCCCAAAAGCGGCGCCTCTTTGGGGGGGAGAGGTTAAAAGTTATTAAAGAAGAAGTCGAGAAGCTCCTACAAGCTGGCTTTGTCAGAAGGGTCAATTACTGTGAATGGGTCGCCAATCCGGTGCTGGTGAAAAAAGCAAACGGTAAATAGTGGATGTGCATTGATTACACTAACCTCAACAATGCGTGTCCAAAGGACTGTTATCCAATGCCAAACATTGATAAGCTGGTTGAGGCAGCTTCGGGAAATGAGAGATTGAGTCTCTTGGATGCATATTCAGGATATCACCAGGTGCCAATGGCTCCCGAGGATGAAGAAAAAATCTCGTTCTATGCCGGTGATGAGATCTATTGCTATGTCATGATGCCCTTCGGCTTGAAGAACGCAGGTGCCACTTACTAGAAGATGGTTACCATCGTATTCTGAGCTCAAATAGGCCGAAATCTGGAAGTTTATGTTGATGATATAGTGGTGAAGAGTTTAAAAGCTGAGGATCACTTAGCTGACCTCGAGGAGACATTCAACAATCTCAGGAAGAATAGAATGAGGTTAAACCCAGCAAAGTGCATCTTCGGTGTGGAGTCGGGAAAAGTTCTAGGCTTCATGGTATCCAGAAGGGGGGTTGAGGTCAACCCTGAGAAGATCAAAGCAGTAGCCGAGATGGAGCCACCGAAGTCGGTAAAAGATGTACAGAGGTTGACGGGGAGAGTAGCAGCTCTGCATAGATTCATTTCAAAATCAGCGGATAAATGCTTGCCGTTCTTCAAGATTATGAGATTGGCAGCCCAAAAGGATGAATCTGGCAAACAAAAAAAGTTTGAATGGAATCCAGAATGCCAAGATGCATTTGACGAGCTGAAGTCTTATCTTAGCTCGCCTCCTTTGTTGACAAAGGCCAAGGATGGAGAAATCCTTTACTTGTACCTTGGCATATCAGATGAAGCTATCAGTTCTGTGCTAATAAGGGAGGAGGGGAAACAACAGAAACCAGTTTACTACATCAATAGTGTGTTACATGGAGCTGAAGTCAGATATTCCATTGCTGAGAAAGCAGCCTTAGCAGTTGTCACTTCGGCCAGGAAACTGAGACCGTACTTTCAATCACACCCAATCATAGTCCTCACGGATCAACCGCTCAGACAAATTTTGCATAAGCCAAAATGTTCAGGGAGATTGATCAAATGGGCTGTTGAACTGGGAGAATTCGAGCTCACATTTCAGCAGAGGTCAGCAATCCGAGCTCAGGCTCTTGCCGATTTCATAGTAGAATGTACCTCGATTCATTCTGATTCCCAGTTCGAGGTGGACAGTTGGATTTTGTATGTTGATGGCGCATCAAGTAACAAAGGTTCTGGCGCTGGTGCACTCTTACTTGGCCCAGAGGGGTATCGAAGCGAACACGCTCTAAAATTTAATTTTGATGCCACCAACAATATGGCCGAATACGAAGCCCTGCTCCTCAGCTTACAGCTAGCGACAGAATTGAAGGTTGAAGCAATACAAATATATAGTGATTCACAGCTAGTAGTCAATCAGGTTAACTCAATCTACGAAGTGGTTGATCTTGTTATGATGAAGTATCCAACTCTGGTGGCCGAAATGAGATCCAAATTCTAGAAATTCCATTTAAGCAAAATCCCTCGAGCTGAGAATGAGCAAGCAGACTCCCTCTCCAAGTTTGTTTCGGATGGCAACCAAAGCTCCAGATCGGTCTTTGTAGAAATTCTGGACGAGCCTAGCTTCGTGAAGCCACAAGTGATGAAGATCAGCACAGATCCTAGCTCGTTGAGCTGGACAAATCCAATTATCTCATTTCTACGAGATGGCACAGTGCCTACAGATAAACCGGAAGAGATGAGGTTGTGAAAAAAGGCATCTCGGTATACCCTTGTTAATAATGTCCTCTATAAGAGATCTTTTTCACTCCCTCTGCTCCGCTGCCTAACCCCTTACGAGGCTGAATACGCACTTCGGGAGGTGCATGAAGGTGTCTGCGGAAGTCACATAGGTGCTCGAACTTTGGCCCATAAAGTCCTTAGATAAGGTTATTATTGGCCCAACATGTATAAGGATGCCACCCAGTTCGTACAGAGGTGTCAGAAGTGTCAGTTCTTCGCACATCTAATCCACCAGCCTGCAGAAGAGCTCACTACTTTGGTGGCACCTTGGCCATTTGCTCAGTGGGGTCTTGACCTTTTAGGTCCATTTATGAAGGGGGTAAGAGGTGTAACCCATCTCATCGTTGGTGTGGATTATTTCACAAAATGGGTCGAAGCTCGGGCACTATCCAATCTTACCTCCAAGAAGGTCGAAGACTTTGTTTTCAGCTCGATTATTTGCAGATATGGGATCCCGAATCAGATTGTAGCTGATAATGGAACCCAGTTCAATTGCTCCTCATTCCGAGATTTCTGTTCCAGTTACGGGATTAAACTGCAGTTCACCTCGGTTTACCATCCTGAGTCCAACGGCATGGTCGAATCTGTTAACAAATGCATCTTAGAAGGTATCGAGCCGAGGTTGGAACAACACGAGGCCAAATGGGCAGACAAGCTCAACAACGTCCTCTGGGCATACAAAACTACGAGCTGAACTGCTACAGGTATTACTTTACACCTGGTCTACTTGATTAATTTTATGTCATTTTACTTCTTTTACTACGGTTTTACCATTAGAGCAAATATACATAACGCGTAAAGCGCATTCTAAAGTTATAATTAATTGAAATAGGTGAAACACCCTATCATTTGGCCTTTGGTACCGAAGCAGTCATTCCTGTCGAGATAGGAGTCCCAAGCTTCAGGGTCACCCATTTCGATGAAGGACGAAATGGACAGCTGCTTTAGGAGAACCTTGATCTGCTTAATGAAGTCAGAGAAGAAGCACGACTTCGAACTCTAGTCTACAAGCAGAAAATAGCAAACTTCTATAACAAACGAGTTCGATCCTGAACTTTCAAAGTAGGAGATCTTGTTCTCAGGAAAGCTGGCCTCACGGGGTTCGAGACTCGATTTGGAAAATTAGCACCAAACTGGGAAGGTCCCTACACTGTGGCCGAAGTGCCCCACCCAGGTGCTTATATCCTACAGGACATTGAGGGCAAAAGGATCCCTAGAGTCTGGAATGCCAATAACATGAAGAAATTTTACCCATAATGCACTTCTTTCCAGTGAACTTTGTCTTATCACCATTATTATGATTACTGTATTCATATATCTCATTAATGAAATTCACTTCAAATTCAAAGTAATCCAGTTCTTTCTATCCTCATGCACTTTGGAAGTTAATTCCTTATGGCTTATTTAGTCCCTTCATTTTCTGGGATGCGATTACACTTCACTTATAGAGTGGTTTACTTCATCTCCTTCCATTTATTTGAGGTCTGACTCGTGTATATCCGAAGTCAATTCCTTCGCTATTTGCTTTACTGCATCCAAGGTCAGTTCCTTGTGTTAATTAAGGTCGCTTTATTTGAAGTGATTCACTTGAAACAAAAATAACAAGCACACATCAAAATAACTTCAAAAATTTTATAAATTCATAAACAATCTATTACAAAAATGTTTTTTACAATAAAACTCCTAAGCTAATCTGCTGAGGGAAGAGGCTGCTCCTCAGCAGGAAGAGGTGGTGGAGGTGGCTCATCTCCAGTGGGCAGAGGCGGCACTTCTGCTTCGGGGGCCAGCTACTGCACCTCGTCAGAGGAGACTGGATGCACCTCGATAGGCGGCACTTCGGCCAGAGCTGCTTGATTCTCAACTCCAGCACCTTGAGCTCCTTCTTCTTCTTCTTCTTCCTCCACTGCCACCAGCTCAGCATCAAAGGCTGGAGGAAAGATGGTACGTCCCTCTATGTCATGCTCCCACCTCAGCTTGATTAGAGGTCGGAAGTCAGCAGAAAGGCTCTCGCCATCCTCCTCCACCCCTTCCTCTTGTTCCCCAAAGGTGACCGTTGTCACGTCCACCTCTGGGTACTGGGCCTTCACTTTCTTTCTACAGTCGGTGAAGGCCAGGATTGCGGTTGGAAGCCGGTACAGCTTGAGGATGCCCTCGAAGGTGCTGGAGTTGAGGAAGTTGTCAATATGCTCCTCCATGCCGTTGTGCACCAACAGACTCACGTTCTTCTTCAGCTCCGCCGCTCCTTTCCTCATATTGTCAATGTATTTGTCTTGAGCCTCGAGCTTCTCCTCACAGATCTTTCTTTTGCGTTCTTCAAGGACAAACTTCGTACTCAAGACCTCATTGTTGTTTTGGAGCTCGGTCACTGAAGGCAGAACTTCGTCCAGCCTCCTCTGCATCTCTCTTTTCTCCTTCTCCCACTCCTTTTTCTCCTTCCGCAGCTCTTCCCCTTCCTTCTGCAGCTGCTCGCACTGCCTCTGCAAGCTAGCACGATCTCGCACGCTCTCCGCGTACTCCTGCGCTAGAGCGTTTGTTCAGCTTGCACTCTGCAATGCAATCAGAAGTCAGACATCAGATGCAGAAGTCAAAAAAAAAAAAAAAAAACTCACAAACAAATCAGGAATAAATTCCAACTCTTTTGCATACCTCTAGGGCATGCCCCACCACAGTAGCTCATAGCCGGCTCACCGCCTCATCCCTCGCTCGCCTCCTATCCACCTCAGGGAGAGTACAGTTGAGGAAGTGCTTCGCCCCAGTTGTGTTTGCTGCCTCAAACAAACTCTTCTCATACAAATGAGGAGGGATGAGCTCCTTGCCCCTGCCAGGGCCTCGCACCTCGGCCCCTTCCCTCTCCCTGACCTTAGGATTGACTTCAGGAGCAGAGGGGCGAGGCACGAACTCAGTCACCTCATCCCCCCTCACCTCTGGTTCAGCCACCTTCCTCTTCTTTCTCTGAAGTGGTACCACCTCCTCACTCACCTCCTCACTTCCCCCCCTTGCTGGCTCTGGCCTCTGATGTATCTCTAGCACTCGAGTAGCAGTGCTGGGCAGGTGCTCTTTCTCTGTCGCCCCTTTGTCCACCGCAGTTGAAGTCTTTGACTTCTTCCTTGGCTTCTTTGGGATGCGCAGTCCCCCAACAGCATTTACGAACTCGTCCATCTTAGCTGCAAAATAAGCACAAAGGTCAAAACACACCAACTAAGGTCTAACCAAAATAACACAGTATAAACACACACAAACCTTCGCTCAATGAGCTTGGCCCATAGAGCTCAGCAGCCTCAATTGCCTGCGGACTGGTGAGGTACAGGATGTCCACCACGTCTCCTTCCTCCCTCACCAGCTTCTCTACTTCCTCCACCTCATCCTCATTTAATTTATAGTTGTTCTGCTTGGTTTTCTTAGCTTTCCAAGTAGACAACTGCTCCACCTTGGCATCCTTCCTACTCCACTCGGTGTCATCCACAAAGAAGAATTTTTCTTTCCATCCTTTGATGGATGACGGTCTAGTAGAGAATAAACTCTTATTCTCTTTGCTGGACGACCGAGGGCCGAAGTAGTACCACTCCTTCTCACCTCTACCTCCACCCCTTATCACAAAAAAAATGCTTAAACATATTTACCATAGGAACCCCAACCCCCCGAGCTCTGCAGTATACAAGGAAGCCTATTATTACCCTTATGGTATTTGGGGTTAGTTGGGTTATTCCTATACTGTAATCTAATAACAACCCAACCAGTAACTCTGGGATGGGGAACCTAAGCCCTGCAATTAAATAATGCACGTACAGGGGCATCCAATGATCTTGGGGTGCTGAGTATGCTCGCTCATTCACCCCGGCCGGCCTAATTAGGACATGGTGAGGGAGGTTGCAGTTCTCTACCAGACCCCTAAGGCTGCTCCAATTGCCCAGTTCGCTCACATACCCCCTCACCTCGGACACTATATCTAAGTCTGGGTCATAACACCCATCTACACCCCCTAGCCTCCAAAATATTTGAGGGGATCTCCTCTTCCTCCTCCTCTACTACTCTGTCCTCCCTCCTCTCCTCCACTGTCCTCTCTGAACTGGTGGGAGACGGACTGCTATCCGAGTCCATGCTCCCGTAATCCAGGGGCATCACCTCACTCCCCACTACACTCATGGCCCATTCTGAAGACATCTCCTCAATTTCTGCATAAAGTGGGAGGAGGAATAGAGTCAGGACCCTCAACAATGCTAACACACTCAAATACATTCTCACCCCCAACCCTAATTTCTTCCAAAAAACCCAAAATCAACCACAGAAGGGGAGAAAGGAGAACAGCACATTGACAAAATCAAAGTAAAAAATTCATAAACTTTACCTAATTTTGGTCTTGGAAACTGTTGTTGAAGTCTTGATTGAAGTGCAAATCGCATGAAACCGCAGAAATTTAGTAGCAATTTAGCAAGAATTTTGAAGCAAAATCGCGAAAGTAAAAATCCCTCTTTACAGAAGTCTAGCCTTTTATACCAAAGGCAAAATACGCCTCAACGGCTGTGATTCACCCCATCTAACGGCTGCAAAGACACCATTTCGAATTCGACGGTTAACCTCAAACGGTACCATTTCGAACTCGACGGTTCGTGTTTTACATCTACCCATTAGCCTATTGCAGTAATCTTTTTTACGGCGGCATTTATTACGCACGTCCTTCAGAGGACAACTGTCGCGTCGCGTGCCGCCTCTTTGTCAGACTTCTTAGATGGGCCCACTTAAGCCCATTTCAACACTCTTGCCCACTTTTATCCATTTTAAATCTTGCGCAAAGTATTTTACTTCGGCTCCGGCCATAGTGACCCAGTGTCACATGTTTTACTTCGGCTACGGCCACAGTGACCTAGTGTCACATGTTTTACTTCGGCTACGGCCATAGTGAACCAGTGTCACATGTTTTACTTCGGCTACAGCCACAGCGACCCAGTGTCACATGTTTTACTTCGGCTCCGGCCACAGCAACCTAGTGTCACATGCTCCACTTCGGCTCTGGCCACAGTGACTCAGTTTCACATGTTTTACTTCGGCTCTGGCCACAGTGACTCAGTGTCACGTGCTTTGCTTTGCCTACGATCACAATGACTCAGGCTATTACTTTTTATGGCTCCTACTTAACTGTTGACTATGGTCATCAATACATGTAAAGTCCCAGATTTTTATTTTACTCCCGCAACCCATCTATAATATCTTTACCTCTCTTCCTTTCTGTTCATGCATTACCCCTATCACTTCCAACAACATCATTCACAAGTGAATGACTCCGGGGGGGGGGGGGAATAGTGTAAGGGCAAGACCAAGGTGCCCAGCCTCGGACGTACGACAATAATTCCTTTACAACCGGAGTGAAGAGCAAATTCAAAGCTTCCTGCTCGAACGGCTGCACAGCAGTTGCGATGGACACCCTCGCATCTAATTATATCTCAATCTCCCGGTCCCAAATTAACCGCCTGGAGATACACATCAAATCCCGAATATCTTGCTTGGCTCAATCTCCCGGTCCCGAAATAACTGCCTGAAGATACGCATCAGATCCCGAGTATCTTGCTTGGCAAGTCACATAGATTCTTCATTGGAGCATATAAATACCCCTCAAAGGCCACGCCAAAAGATAATTGAACCAACCCTAAGCTCCTTGCTTCCTCGTTCTGAAGGTAGTCTCGATTATTGCTGATTTAAGCATCGGAGTGTTTACCCCGATGACCCACCTCGGGGCTTTGCAGGTCAATCCGGAGTACAGATACGGACTGGAGAAGGACTTCTGGTTTGGTGCAGTTACAAAATTATGGTTTATTTATTTATATGAGGAACAAATAAACTTCCAAAAAAATAAATATTTTAGCTGCGAAGGAACATATAAAATGAGATAGTGGGCTACCTTTCTCGGCCTTTCAGCTCATATATATATATCAAGTATATTGATCGGGCCTTTTTAAGCCCACCCCAAAACCCTTGCTTCTCTCCATTTTGACACGTCCAGTTCCAGCCCGTATTATCATCGTCCTTGAAAAGGGAAAAATCTTTGTTCTAATTTCCTTTTTTTTTTTTTAACTAAGAAGATTAATTGGGTTTGCTGTAAAATTTGCATTCAGTGGGATTCTTTCATGTGTTTTAATGCTGTTAATTCAAACAGAAAGTATGCTATATATGGTATGCTATGCATGATTCTAAAACTAGTAAAAAGATGGAAATGGGAATAATCCAAAGAAAACTAAACTGTCTTTGGTGGTAAGTGGATACATTGGAGGAGAAACAATATACTAGATATTTTTTAAGAAAGACAGTAAAGAGGGATCCATTTTCCTCATCTTCAAGAATCCTTGATCCTTTTCTTCATCCATCTTTCAAGATATCAAGTGAAATTGAATTTAAAAATATTAAGATGAAAGTAAACTCAATTAATTTTGTAATTTGATCAAATTTGAAGGGATTTCAATCAACTTTTTCTAAATTTAGAAGTTAAGAGCTTAACCAAACACATTATAATTTTGTCTTATGAAAGATATATTCCTTTTTTTGGTTAATATCATAATGTGATATTAATCTCTCAACTTTCATAACTTTGCAACTAAAATATAATAATTTGAAAAATGCTAATTAAATGGTTAGATTTATTGGTATATAAATGTCGTCTTTTAAATCATATTCATACTTGAGTTTTTGAGTTAGCACTCAAAAAAATTAATTTCTTTAAATGCATAATTAATTATGATGTAAAAATATACTTTTAAAATTACTTAAGATGGGATTAGTTTTAAGGTGCATATCAATTAACTCAAAAAAACATTTTAACTATAAATGCTAAAGAAAATAAGACCAAACAAACTGTGAAAAATGAATTTCTATTACACATTATTGAACAAAAATTACAGGGTTAATATCATATTGTAAATTTTTAACCATATATCATTTATGTCTTTGTACAAAAAAAAAAAATTCCGTTATAATATTCATTCTCCTTGCTGCAGAATAGGAAAGAAATTCGATGAAACAATGCCTAATTAATCCTAACGATTGTTAATTTTTCCTTGATGCTAGGATCATGACTAAACCCTAATATGCGGCATATATAACTGTTTTAAAGCCCGGCCCGACCCGGTCGGTTGGACCGGTTCAACTAGACCCGGGCTTAAAAACGAGCCGAGTGCATGCTTCGGTCCGTTTTGAGAGTTGGCCCGTCCAAACCCGTTTGACTCGTTCGACCCGCACCAATCGCCCAACTCGTTCCACCCGTCGGGCACCACCTCATCTCCTTCGTGAGCAGCCGCAGCAAAGTAGCCTGGTCTCCCTGCTTCACCTCCATCAAAACCAAGAGTCTATGGTAACAGATCTGATGAAAGAAATATAGACGTTGAGACCACGGTGCTTGCCGGAGCACTCTAAACACATGAAGATACCATAGGTGACCGAAGCCCATTGTAGATTCTTTTGGGCACAGTCGATGCAGATCTTGTTCCCTGGTTGAGATTAGAGGTCGTGCAACCGTCTCAACGCCGCCATCTGAATCCGATCTCAACCGATTCTTGGAGATTGAAAATGAAGAGGATAGATCAAGCTCCAAAAAAAAAAAAAAGGGATCAAAAGAAGGATATAAAACAAGATTCAGAAAGATTTTATTCAATTTTATTTTTTTTAAAAAAAGGGGTTAAATTGGGGGGAAGAGGAAGATGACTGACATTGTCAAAATCAAGGTCGTTAAAATCGAGATTTTATCTAAAATCATTTTGGATAGGTGAAATCAGAATCGTAAAATCGAATCGGTAAAATCGAGATTTTACAAAATTTAATATATAATATATAATAAATTATATAAAATCAAAATTAAATAACAATAAATCAAATTTAGAGTTAGAAA